GGAACATATTTACTCCAAATAATTTTAGACCACTTCCCCTCCAAAATACTTACTTTCGGTGTTAAAAAATCATACGCCACCTTTACCGAATATAAACCATCTCCACTATGAATCCATCTCCACGAATCTACTCCGTCTATCTTCAACTTTACACCATTAATCAACTCCCTAAGCTGTTCTTCCTCACCAGCCGCCCTCCCTATACACCCATGTCTCCCCCTACACTCCCATACCCAACCATCAGTACTCCAAAGACCCATATCCTGTAACAACCCCTCCCTATTTGTAGACAAAGCAAACAACCTAGGAAATAAATTTTTTAAAGACTTTTCTCCAACCCATCTATCACTCCAAAACTTCACACAACTTCCATCCCCCACTTTCCATTTAAAGCCCTTTACTAGCATCTCCAACAGCCTTTCCGACCCACTACCCACACCCACAATATCTTTCCACACCCGAGACATATTTAAAGATGCGAATGAAGTAACTTCAACCTCCTCTCGACCCCCATAATATTTCTCCCAAATCACCCTCTTCCATAAACCCTCTAAACTATCTCCTAACCTAAACCACCATTTACCCAACAACGCACAATTCCTCCTCTCCAAATCATCCACTCCTAATCCACCTCTCTCCTTATCCACACATATACTGTCCCAACTCACCCATGAAATCTTCTTATCCAAAGTCACACCACCCCAAAAAAAATTCCTTTGAATTTTAACTAACTCAATAAGCACACATTTAGGAATTTTGAACAAAGATAAGTAAAAAATAGGGAGAGCAGAAAGTACCGAGTTAATTAAGGTAATCCGACCTCCAAAGGATAGTAGTGGGCTTTTCCACGAGGCAAGCTTTGATCGAAAACGGTCCAGCACTGAATTCCAGAACTGTTTCCTCCCTGGATCCCCCCTTACTAGCAAACCAAGGTATATAAAAGGCACCTTGCCTACTCCACAATGCAAAATAGCTGCTGCACCTTTTAACCACCCTTCTGAAACGTTAAACCCATACAAATGGCTCTTGTTGAAGTTAACCTTCAACCCTGAAATCAATTCAAACCAGTGCAATATAGCCTTCACGACCTTTAAATTATCAGCACATGCCTTTCCCATAAAAACAGAGTCGTCTGCAAACTGAAGCAACGACAACCTCATACCACTCGTCCCAATATCCACCCCTTGAAAAAGCCCTTCACTCTCAGCTTTTTTGACAAGCCCACATAACCCTTCTCCAACTAATAAAAATAAAAAAGGAGACAAAGGATCACCTTGACGAAGACCTTTACTAGTTGTAAACTCCGTTGTTGGGCTTCCATTTATTAGAATAGAAATCCTAGCTGTCGAGAGACATTCACGGATCCACTTCCTCCATTTAGCCCCAAACCCCATTCTGTCCATCATCCAATCCAGGAAATCCCAATCCACACAGTCATAAGCTTTCTCAAAATCAGCTTTAAAAATGAAGCTCTCTTGTTTTCTCCTTTTTACCTCATCCACAGCCTCATTCAAAATCAACACACTATCCACCAATTGCCGTCCTCCAACAAACGCTGATTGCGAATCACGGATAATATTTGCCATGACCTTTTTCAACCGATTCGCCAAGACCTTCGCCAATAGCTTATACAAGCACCCAATCAAACTGATAGGTCGATACTCCTTAAATTGCACTGGATTCAATTTTTTGGGGATTAACGTCAAAAATGAGGAATTAAGACCTTTAACTAACCTCCCATGATGATGAAATTCCTGCAAGAAATTCACAAAATCATCCTTCATTGTGTTCCATGCAAACTTTATAAAATTAAAATTGAAACCATCTGGTCCTGGTGCCTTCGATCCATCACAACTTCGAAGTCCCTCTTCAATTTCCTCTATTGTGAAAGGTCTTTCCAACCACTCCTTTTGTGTCGTAGAAATTCTACGGAACTGAATCCCACCCAAGACAGGACGACGCCACTTTTCATCTCGAAACAGTTTGCTAAAATACTTAATTGCCTCCTCCTTGACTACATCCGGTTCCTCCACCCAACCATTCTTGCCTAAGATACCAGATATGCCATTCTGTGCTCTCCTTGCATGAACACTCCTATGAAAGAATGCTGTATTTGCATCTCCCAAACGAACCCAATTATTCCGTGCCTTCTGCTCCACACAGCTTCTCTTTTTCTTAAAATATCCCACATCCCCTGAAAACACTCCTTTCTCAATAGCACCTCATTCTCGTCCAACCCATCCTCCTCACTTTTTTTATCCAACCTCTCAACCTGCTTTACTAGGGTGTCAAATTGAGTCTCCACATCACCAAACACCCCACTGTTCCATCCTTTACATTCCTCTTTTAAAAGCTTCAACTTCTGTTTACATTTGTATGAGGCCCATCCTTCGATTTGCATAGCCTTCCATCTATTCTCCACAAATTCTGGAAAATCTGGATGTTGTTGCCATGCATCAAGTACTCGAAAAGGCTTGGGACCCCAATCCACATTTCTTGATGTCAAAATGATAGCACAGTGATCAGAAATTGATCTTCGAACACCAA